CGCTGTGTTGCTTCAAGGTCCCTTACTGCCCACACGATCAGCTGTCATGTACCCAGTACCAATAATATCCACAAAACTTATCACGAAGCGATATAACTCCAACCACAAAGGTTCCTCCTTGACTGACATCTGTTGCACTGTGAGTCAAGCTCCAGTCATGTTAGATTCTATCTGAAACTTACACAAGCGAAGGAAAAGGATGAACGATGAAAGGGAGCAGATGAAATGAAATTTTACAGAGTTCGTGAGGTTACGGTTTACTTCGTGCTTCTTCGTTATGGCACGAACTTCTGTTCGTCACATTCTTCAGGTACCTTAATTACAGATTCTGCCCGAGGTCACTGCGGGCCACGATGGCAGACAGCGCGTAGGAATCCTTGCCCAGCCCCTGTCCTGCGCTACCTAGGTTACATGACCCTTCCTTTCTCGATTGAGCCGAGACAAACAACCCGTGTAAGACGTCACGACAGGTCCACTGTTTTCACGTAAAAAAATTGGAAATCCTACGTTTGGGAATAAATCCTGCCCACACTAAGTGCAAAAAAACGTTTTCAGAATTGATTATGCACGAAGACGTAAATGAATGCACTCTATCGGCGTTCAGTTAAAACATGACTGAAAACCTTAGTCTGCACGCATACTCGGTAATGTAACCGAGTACAGAGATAATTTCTTGTTTAGTTATCTGGAGGCTACTGATATTTATATTTTTTTTCCTTGGCACCACAGCCCCAGTGGGCCTAGGCCTACCTCCATGAACTTCTCCGTTCACTTCGGTTTTTCTAGATCTTACACATTCGGTAGGGCTCCTTGGGCGGGTGATCAGCTCGTCGCAAGGCATCTACCTGTTCACAAACACAGAGAAACGCACACACACAAACTAAACATCCATACCCTGAGTGGGATCCGAACCCACGATCCCGTTTTCCAAGCGAGCGAAGACAGTACATGCCTTAGACCGCTCGGCTACCGTGACCGGCCGATATTTATATTACCCATACTAATACTAAATAGTTTAAGTATGTACTGGTACATATATACTGGTACTGGTACAGATGCAGTCACGGGGAGGAGTTGCAACACTCCCCGCGACTGCATCCGTTCTGCGGTGGTATGACTACGGCAAATTGCAGCCGCGGTGCGCACTTGATTGTACGCACTGTATTTCGTCACCAAAATGCAGGGCAATATCAGGACATAAAGATGGGTAACAGATGTTTTGAAAATGTGGCGCAGTTCAGATATTTGGGAACAAATATAACAAATCAAAACCTGATTCAGGAGGAAATTAAGAGGTGATCGAAGTCGGGTAATGCTTGCTACCATTCAGTCCAGAGCCTTTGGTCTTCTCGTTTGCTGTCTAAAAACATAACAATTAGAACATACAAAACTATAATTTTGCCTGTGGTTCTGTATGGGTGTGAAACTTGGTCTGTAACATTAAGGGAGGAACATAGACTGAGGATGTCTGAGAACAGGGCGTTGAGGAAAATATTTGTACCGAAGGGAGATGAAGTGACAGGGGGTTGGAGAAAACTGCATAATGAGGAGCTTCATAACTTGTACGCTTCTCCAAGTATTATTAGAATGATCAAGTCAAGGAGGTTGAGATGGGCGTGGCATGCAGCACGAATGTGGTAGAGGTGAAATGCATATAGGATATTGTGGGAAAGCCAGAAGGAAGGAGACCACTGGGAAGACCAAGACGTAGGTGGGTGGACAATATTAAAATGAATCTGAGAGAGATAGGATGGGATGGTATGGATTGGATTGACCTGGCGCAGGATGGGGACCAGTGGAGGGTAATGAACTTTCTGGTTCCATAAAATGCTGGAAAGTTCTTGAGTAGCTGCACAATTGGCAGCTTCTGAGGAAGGGCTCAGCACCATGAGTGAGTGAGTGAATACTAAATTGTTGTAATAATTATAAAAGGAACAACTGAAATCGGTGACTAATAGATTTACGAATTATCGAAAGGAAATGTCATTTGGAACGCTTCGAACCATTTATAACTGGAAGTGATGGAAGATTTGGTCTAGCAGCGATATTCACAAGAAGCTCCACCATTTGTCCCTATCTTGAAAGAGACGAATCCTGACAACGCTCCCATATTTTTTCAAGGTGGGGTAGCATAGTCGGTATAGCGACTGGCTTACGGGCTGGACGGCTGAGGGGTCGAAGTTCGAGTCCCGGTAGGGTCAAGAATCTTCTCTTCTCCAAATCGTTCAGGCCGGCTCTGGGGTCCATCCAACCTCCTATCCAATGGGTACCGGGGCTCTTTCCCCGGGGATAAAGCGGCAGGGGCGTGAAGCTGACCACTCACCTTAAGCTAGTGCCGAGGTAAAGAAAATATGGATCTATACATCCACTCTCCCATACGCCTTCATGACGTAGTGCTCAATTCGTTGAACACAAGGACAACTTTACCTTCATACTAAAGTTTTCTTCCCAGTAACGCCTTTGTCCACCTTCGGGTATTCTGAATAAAATTCTGTACGTAATTTTTATCTTGCCACCATCTCGTACGTATCATCGTCCTTGATTATATCCTGCTAATAATATTTGGGGAATTATGAAGCCCCCGCCAAGCAGTTTGTCTTCGAATGCAACCCTTAACAGTAGACTACTTCTTCAACATATGTGTGATGGGAGTAACGGGAAAGGTGACTTGCAGGGACAATTCATGTCACTATTTCTCTAATTCCAACACACAGCCAATCTAAGAGTTCAGCTCGTTGAAAATGTACGGAGTAGCTGCTTACACGGCTCTATAACTGCACAACAAAATTTCGGAAATTGTTAGGAGGAAGTTAGGAGTCAAGAGAGTGCAGTTGGTATAACGACTGGCTACGGGCTGGACAACAGAAGGGGTCGGAATTCGAGTTCCTGTAGGGTTAAAAGTTTTCTCTTCTCCACGTCGTCCAGACCGGTTCTGGGGCTCACCTAGCCTACTCTCCAATGAGTACCGGGGGCTCTTTCCCCAGGGGTAAAGCGCGTAGTGTGGTACGGTACCCGGCTACCTCCAACGTAACTTTTCTACCCAAACTGTTAGATATCACATACTTGCAGCTTCTATTTCACGGCTTTCTAGAAGGTGCGGGGTGAAACCATGGAATATGAATAGAACGCAAAGGCGTTGTCGCGCCCGGTGTGAGAAAGCCGAGCAAGCCAGCTCACGAGGTGATGGATTCGACTTCTGTTCGTGAGGTGCCCGGTTCGAAATTTGTCCGGTTCATCGACTACCAAATTCATGCCCTGCGTGTTTTCCTCAGGCCTTCCAGACGAATGCCGGGTTAGTTCCTGGAAATACGAGACCACGGCCGCTTCTGTCCTTATCCATATCAAATTAATCATTCATTAATCATATTACCATCCGACACCATACAATCTCAGGTTCTGGTAGCATCGTTAAATAAACCAAAAAACTAACACGAAGCCTAGTCACTGCTTACAAGCTGATAGTTGCTCAACTACTTTAGAAATCGGTTGCATTTTAAGGAACCCGGATGTTCAAAATAGTGTTGACGAGAGCCAGCCAATTGCTCCTATCCTGTGCCACCTGAATCTACCCCACATTCTTTCATCCTATTTCCTTAAGATATATTTTAATATTATCCTTACATCTACGCCTAAATCTTCCTAGTGGTCTCTTTTCTTCAGATTTTCCCACCAAATCTTTTTATCTTAAGCTTGTCGCTTGCTTGATTTACTCCTTGGCATCAAATAATGAAGCGATAAGTTCGTCCAGAACGTCGGGTGCCCTCCCAACTATAGATCGTTACAACCCAGAATACGGTACTCTTCACAGTCACCATCGTAAGAACGTCAGATCCAACAAGCATGTCCTTGTTTCACGTCATAATGAACAGGAAATTTATCAGACAGCTGCCTACCTATTCGCTTAGTTTTCTTTTAAAAACTTTTTAATTGCCCTAACTAGTTTTATGTGTACTCAAAGCACAATAAGAATATTGTGTAATACTTCACTCACAACTGAAGCATAAATGGTAAAGATACTGTAAAATTATCCGTGTGCTTAACTAATTAAGCATTAAGCCATGAAGGCGTATGGGGAAGTGGATGTATAGATCCACATTTTCTTGACCTCCGCACTAGTTGGAGGTGAGTGGTCGCTTTAAGCACAGGCCGCTTTACCCCAAGGAAAGGACCCTCGGTACATATTGGATAGGAGGCTGGGTGAGCCCCAGAACCTGTCTGGACGACATGGAGAAGAGAAAATTCTTGATATTACAGGGACTCGAACTCCGACCTCCCTGACGTCCAGTCCGTACGCTATCCGACTAGGCTATCCCGGCCTAATTGAATCGTAAGTTTTTTAGGCTTTGGCATCCACATAATTTATGACTGATATGCAAAACACCTTAGTCATCATCGACTTCCTACTGAATTTATTACCTCGATTAACAAACAAATCTTGTGTTTAAAATTCTGTATCGTCGCTAGCCAAATTACGAAAATATTTTGAAAGAAATGTTATAACATTTTTTTTTCTCTTTGGATTCACTTCAATATGGCTGAAAATACAGCACGTTGGAAGGGTAACTACGTAATCTGCATACTGTCACACACTTGTAATATGCATCGAAACTACTCGTATAGCGATGAGATATTAATAAACATCAAGTTGTAACACCCATCCTCACTCACTCACTCATGGAGCTGAGCCTTTCTTGAGAAGCCACCAATTGCATAGCTATTCGAGACATCCCAGCATTTTATGGAACCCGAAGGTTCATTACCTGGTCCATCGAACCACACAACAATAAGAAAATGATGCAATGGTACTTATTACAACTCAACAGGCGGACGGAACTTCCCCCATATTATACGATCGTTATATGGTTATATGATGCTACAATTTAATATTAAAACAAGTTGTCAGTTCCCTCTATAGGTGGTACTGCAGCTGGCTCATGGATGCCCTCTTTGAAGAGATTTCACTACTACTTGTATTTACCGATTTGGCGTTGTCATGGCAACAAGTAGGCATTAATTGCATTTTCAAGAAAGAAATAAGAGCCTTATGCAAGATTTTGTGGTAAACAGACGCGCCTTCATATGTAATTAATGGCCGTGGTTCAAAGAGATCTTCGTATTTTAATTTAATAGAGTTTATTATACGATTCTGAATTGTAACATAACAGGAATAGGACGCTATGTGGTAAGATGTGAGACAATATAACCTTACACATTGTAAATACCATAAAATTCCTTATTTATTTGCATTGCATAGTTCCAGGGGTTTGAATCCTCAGCGGTGGCTCGATGCATTTAATGACCTGAATGCATCAATATATACATTCAGCCGGTGTATGACGCTTGCTGATATAAATTCAGATGGAAACTATAAGCTTGTCATCTCCGATCTTGGCACAGGAACTACCAATATCAAACTTAAGGTACAGAGGCGTGTTTACAATTGTTTCTTCTGACTACTACAACACAAAGAAGAGAATTCACATAAGATAGAATTAATTTCTGTTCATTAGGTGTACAGAGGTACATCCCTGATGTCAGAGATGACCCTGATGGACGTTCCAACTGGTATTGTTACTTTCCATATGGACATGAATGAGCCAAGAGTGCCTGGTGAGAGTTTTCATTTTATGTGTGTTTTGGGCACATGAGAAATCAGTTTTGAACTGCCTGCCATTTCAGTGTTAAAAATCGGGCTGTCAAATTGCTTTCTGACCTTTCCATGTGCTACTGGCTGTCACTAATTTTGAACTGAAAAGCGACCTACAATGGTTATGACTGCCTCACTATATGTTATTGTCATGTGTAGAGTTGTACATGTGAAAAAATTAAGGGGTTCTAGTTCAGATGATTGGATTTATTAGCACTTCAGTTACATGCTTTCTCTTAACTACAGTTAATGCAGCGCTATAGTTGTTTCTGCATTTTATAATTCACTGCCACACACACAAACACACACTAGGATTCCCAGTTTCCACTAATTTTCTCCTAGAAATGGATCTCAACACAGAAACTAGCACTTCAAATCACTATGAAGTCTTTTGTTATTTTGCCTTCAATCACTCTGTACTCCTCTGTCCTAATCTGTACTCAATTAATCTTCAAAATTCATGCTCATCTCTTGTCCTTACACGCTCACCTGCTGAACCCTCCTGGACTCTCCACTAATCTAAGCTTAAACAGAACTTCATTATATAGGTGTGCCACGGGCAACACAGAAAACAAGTCACATGATAGCTAATACTGTTGGAGTGTGACATCACTGTGGCTGCATGGTAGTATGTTCACCGAACTGCTGCCCAGAAGTGGGCTGCCCAACCTCGCTGTTTCAGTGTTGCATGCGTGTATCGCAGGGTGTTTATTGAGCCATTACCTGGCAGTGCGTTGAAGCGTCACAGTATTTATATGTCAGGTTAAAATTTGCTGCTATGCAATGCAATTATTAATATCCTGGCTGGGGTTTACAATATGTTTGAGGGTTATGGGGGTATCAGAAATCACAGTTTCATAAATGGAATTACAAAATCAGAATATGAATTTGATGTAATTACTTGCATGTAATTATGCCATGTAGTACAACATGACACAAATTGGTGCTTAACTAACACTTAAGATTGTGTCAAAGGTATAAACTCTGACAATGATCTTCTTTCATAGCTATTGCAGTCGCCTCAGGGCCAAATATCTTTGTCTACAAGAACATGAGGCCCTATTTTAAATTTTCAATTCCATCCATGACGGTGAATCCACTGGAGCAAGATCTGTGGCATGAGGTGGGTGTGTATTTTACTTAAATTTTATAGTCTTGAAGGAGACTTTGTTAGTTGCACATATCACCACAGGCAGATTCCAGTGAAACTTCTTCCTCATAATAAGCATCATTTTTATCCCATATTTATCTATCTTTCTTTTGCCTCAAAATGTCTGCACATTATAGTCGCATTTCTCCATCAATTAATCAGTTATGCCTTTCTCATAATATCACTCCACATCGGGGCACGCGGTAGTTTAGTTGGCTACAGGCTGGACAACTGAGGGGTTGGAGTTCGAGTCCCAGTAGAGTCAGGAATTTTCTTTTCTTCATGTCATTCAGACCAGCTCTGGGGTCTACTCAACCTCCTATCCAATGGGTACTGGGGGCTCTTTCCTCAGGGGTAAAGCAGCCAGTGTGTGAAGGTGACCACTTATCTCCAACTAGTGCCCAGGTCAAGAAAATGTGAATCTATACATCCCCTCCCCCAAACGTCTTCATGGCGTCGTGCTTAATTAGTTAAGCACAGGGACAACTTTACCTTTCTTTTTACCTTGCCAAAATATCCAGGGGTGGAAGTAGATGGATGGCGTCCCCCTCCTCAGGTGACTCACGACTGTTGTAGTTTGAATATTCCTCTTTCAGAATACAGTTATGGCTCAAATTATGGAACACTGTTTATTTTGGATTGTTGCATCACCCTAAACCCATTCCCGCTAACTTCTAAAAGTATAATATTATGTGACCTGTTATTAAGATAGGCTCAAATAAATGCCTTAATTCTTTTGCAGGTTCGAAACAAACAGATGGAAGTGGAAGTATTCTATGACTTGCTGCAAAA